CCGCCGGAATAACAAACGATAGCACATCTCTCTGTGCTGATACTGGTGCAAGGCACTTATCCAGCACTGCCAGTAAGTTACCACCATCTGAGACAGCACCCATCAAAAAATCTGCTCTAGACGCCATAAACCTTGGAGATATATGCGATTTCACCGTCACCCCTAACTCTCTCTCTCTCTCATTCTGTCTTATCAATGCTCGCTCCTTACTCAACAAAATGTTCGACTTTACGACATTATCCCTAATTTGCAACCCGTCTCTCATAATGATTACTGAGACATGGTGCACTCCTCAGATTTGCGATAAAGATATTTCTATTGATAACTATTATGTATTCAGAGGCGACAGAAACCATGGCAGAGGAGGAGTATGTGCAATGTATATCAGGTCTGATATTGAGGCCACACAGTGCTTCTACCCAGAGCGCATTACAGATAACGATTCAGTGTGGGGTATTCTAAGACTGTCTCACTGCAATTCCTATCCTATAGGTTGCATCTATCATCCCCGTGCTCAACTGTTGAAGGTTATAATAATAATATATATTCTCATTTTTTACATGAGGGACGCCAGTTTACAGGCATCATCAATTCGATAATTTACACATAATATATTAATAAGCATATTTAGTAAAGATAATATAATAAAGTACATTTTTTTCCCTAGCTATGTAGGGTACACCAATTGTATAGGCATGCATAAATATTGTTTTAATGATAATAATATATTCCTTCCTGTTTATGCAGGAACATACCTATTGTACAGGCATGGATAAGTTATTATATAAATTACACATAATTTGATGTATAATGGACTTACAGTTTGGTTGTTCTTTCTGACATTAGGGTCAGTCGGAACAGTCTGCTATAAAGTCTGTTTGTGTAGCACATAAAGAGATATAGAAATATTGTCTTCGCATTAACAAAAAACCCAGACATCACATGAATGTAATACAAATATCTGGGAAAAATAAAGCTTGAAGTCAATTCTCCTATATAACTTTATTGTGAACAGCACCCTTGGCTTAAAGTTTATTGATGTATTCTGTTGAGATCAGTGATATATTTATTCCATTTTTCAGCAGTCTTATCGTAGTTTCATAACAGGAAAGAAATTTGATCGTGGAGGCGAAAATTAGATAAGGTCATGTCGGGTTGTTTTACTGCATCAAATGGTCCCGAGGTCGATTCCAGAATTCCCCATTTGCGCCATTTGTGTCTGCATGGCGGACTGTACTCGTAAGTTGAGTAAAATGTTGGAAACCAGTTGCTTCTTTATTTCAGATCATGAATACTCATTTACATCGTGTCCGCCAGCTTGGTAGCACGTTCGCTTACGCCACTTCTCTGCTGCCTCACAAGGCTAAAATTATATGTGGGGACTTTAATATGCCCGATGTAGTCTGGCAACCACTTTCCTCACCAAAACGGTACAATGAATTTATCAACATAATAGAAACAAAAGAATGGCAACAACACGTACAGTATCCTACCAGGCTATCTAAGATTTTAGATCTAGTTTTCACTAATGGTATCATCCCCACTACCCTTCGAGTAGGTAAAGAGTTTCCTGACAGCAACCACAGAGTAGTATTTGGTACATTCAATATTTGCACTAGCATGAGTTCGACAATAAGCGCCAACAAAGTATTACTCAGGGGTTATAGACATGCTCAGTGGGATGACCTGAAACCATACATACGCACCCTAGACTGGGAGCCATACTTTACATGCAGCTCGGCTATGGAGACAAACAAATTACTCTATGAGAACCTAGGATTTGCACATGACTTCACCGCTCCAGTAAGACTTGTGAAAACGAGGCCTAAACAGCCCGACTTCATCCCTGTAAAGATTCGAAACCGACTGCATAAGCATGCTAGGCAGTTCTACAGATGTAATGACTTCTCATCACTCATTACACTCAAGCAAACTTAGGATTCACACAAATCTAATCAGTTATCTGAGTCCATCAAACTAGAACGCATCCTCCACTCATGACCTGATAATACAGAGGCATTAGTTAAACTAATTAAGTCACGAATCAACAACAACAACAACAACAGAATAAGTATCCCTAACTTATTACTAGTTGGAGAAAAACTACACGAAGACCCGCAGGAGATATGTGAGTTTTTCAGCTCCCACTTTTCTAGCTACTATACTATCGAAGAAACAGTAGATAGTCTTGAAGTTCCGACAATACCAAATCACTTTTTGGGTAATATAACATTCACCCAACAAAAGATTTCCTCCGCTATAGCATCCCTCCGGACATCATATAACGCTGGACCCGATGGAACTCCGTCTATCTTATTGAAAAGAGTTGGTGAGGACATACCCATTATCCTACTAAAGTTTTTCAATCTTTCCTTAAATAATGGCAGTTACCCAGAGTGCTGGAAGCTGTCGTTTATAACCCCTAGGCACAAACTAGAACCAACTTCTAATATCGAAAACTACCGACCGATCAATATCACGTCAGTAGTTTCCAGGGTTATGGAAAAGGTTATAGGGCAAGATATTGCTTCATACCTCCACCTTCACAAAGTGTTTACTCCAGCACAACACGGCTTCTTGAAAAATCGATCAGGCTCCACCTGCTCACTTGACTACTTTGATGATGTTACCGCTAAGCGTGATCATGGTTTGCATGTCGCAACTCTCTTCTTTGACTTAAAAAAAGCCTTTGATAAAGTCCCACACAAGAGACTAATCCTTAAGCTAAACTCGTACGGGTTCCAAGACCCCTTGTTATCCTGGCTCATTTCTTTCTTGGAAGATCGTTCCCAAGTTGTGAAACTTGCAAATAATTAGTCGTCACCCAGACCTATACGAAGTGGAGTGATTCAGGGTAGTGTACTAGGTCCACTGCTTTTCGTAATCTACATTAACGACATCTGCAGTGTAATCAAGCATGACACCCCACACCTCTTTGCTGACGACTTAAAGATTGTATACAGCTTCCCCCATTCTACACTGAACGAAGGATTCACACATATTCAAGATGATCTGGATAGGTTACATAACTGGAGCAATGACTGCCAACTGCCATTCAATTCTGATAAATGTGGTGTCCTATATTTCAATAACTCCCATCCGAATTTCAGGTTACACCTAGGTGACTCTTTTCTCCAAACCCTCAGTTCCATAAAAGACCTGGGAGTTACCTACTCACACAACTTAACATTCAGTCAGTACGCAAAAGCACTTGTTTCTAAATGACGAAGACTCACAGGCTTGTTACATCGAAAAATGTACACAAATGAGGCTAAAGTCCTTTTATGCAAAGTCATGGTTCGTCCAGTACTTGAATACTGTACAATTGTCTTCGGTTTCATGCATGGTTATGACAGTGTTCGTATTGAAAATATTCAGTGAAGTTTTACTCGACGCCTATTATACAAACATGAAGGACTGACTTACGCTGATAGGTGCAATATATATAGCACTTTAGCCACTTTGGTTAAGGCGCCTGAAACTCAACTTTACATTCCTCTTTCGCCTTTTACACGGCTATATCAAAAGCAGTAATCCAATAGCTTTCAACAATTTACCCATACATACTCTTAGGAATCATGATAATACTCTATCCATAAGCCGGTACCGGACAAAACTGCGATCACGTTTCTTCAATATACAGTACAGTGCATTATGGAACGAACTTCCACTTACTGTACGTAGTTGACGATCTCCTACTGAATTCCAGCGTCTCCTTAACGAGTTCCTGTCAACAAAAGCGCTTCGGTCTACTTATCCATACTTTATCCATATGGGCTGTTCAACTAGCTTTAGTACTACAGACCCCAGTGCAATAACCCCAATTCGAGGAAATTCATTTGCCCCGGCAACCGTACCGCATATATATACTGGTAAAACCAACCCAATCTTTCCCACATGCCTTTACCTAAGGTTCGGTTATTCAGCCTATTAGAGATCCTATCGATATTTCTTCAATCGGGTTTATAAACTCATAAGACTCTATAATTTTCCTGGACGTATAATCCCAAATTAGTTGTGACAGTTCTTCCATAATAAAAGAAAACTGGTACTTTGTAATGTCTAAAGCATGCCATATGAAAAGTGGCCAGGAAAACCTACCAATAACAAACTCAACCAACCAAGCATTTTCCCCAAGTTCATTCAACCTACCCTTATCCCTGATCGTACCACTATTCACTACACTCTACTCAGTAGAATATGACTTAATTTGCTCCGGTACTCAAAACTCTTCTACCTTTTACCGTTAAAAAAGACGTTTTAACTACTAACTGCACAGTAGCCGTTTAACTAACTCACTGGTTTCCTCTTCACTGTAATCTTCAATAAGTTCGTCAGTATAATAATTTCCGAAAACCATTACATTAGCAACTATATCTTTTAATATTTTACAAACATACTTATATTATTAGCATAATACACTGCACTATTTTTGAGTTGAATTGACTATCTTCAGTCAACAGTTACCCATTCTCATATAATTTTCTAAAATTCATGATGTTGAAGCTATGTAGTATTTTTTCCATTGTATAGCTGATGAGTCACTTTGCAATGCGTAACGCACACCATATAAAATCGGTCGCCAAAATTTAGCATAACAAGTTCTGCTAACCAGTTGCTTTTCTCAGGACCACTTTACATAACTTTGTCACTAATTGTTCCACTACTTAAAATAATAATAATAATAATAATAATAATAATATTATATTCTCATTTTGTACATGAGAGACGCCAGTTTACAGGCATCATCAATATGATAAATTACATATACGATTAGCAATCGTAATTAATAATAATGTTTTAATAAAGTACACATTTTTTCCTACTTGTGTAGGACACACCAAATATACAGGCATGGATAAGCATTAATTAAATTTCATAAATTCGGTTTATGGTTAAGTTACATGGTTGCTGGCGTTTTCGTTTTAATAATAATTATAATAATGTATATTCTCATATAAACATATAAATTTACATGAAAATGCATGCCATTTTTTTAGGTCTGTGGGAACAATATGATAACCAGTCATTCAATGGAGCACATCATGAAATATAGGAATATTGACTTCGCATTAACAAAAAAACCCAAGTAAGTTTTGGATGGATTAAAAATACTTGGGAAAAAATAAAGCTTGAAGTTATTCCACAATATAACAAGTCATTCAATGGAGCACATCATGAAATATAGGAATATTGTCTTCGCATTAACAAAAAAACCCAAGTAAGTTTTGGATGGATTAAAAATACTTGGGAAAAAATAAAGCTTGAAGTAATTCCTCAATATAACTTGGGTGTGTACAAATCCGAATCTCATTTTTGATTTGATTTATATCCAAATTGGGTAATAAGGAAGCTATTTTTACAGATAAGATCAGTTATGTTATAAGCTACAATCGTGAAGTTGTATTACAAATTGATACTTTTCCATTGGTATAAGAGTATATTCCACAAATGTAATCCACAAATGTAATCCAGGTTGCGTCGTGGAGAAAGTTAATTCGTTATTAACCAGGCAACTGAAAGATACGGGACCAATAATGTTTGCAGATCATTTGTCATTGTAAATGGTCAAATATCCACATTATTCATTCTCATTCAAAAAGTCAAATGGAAGCTGAAATGGTGAGAGAAAAAAGAAGACAAACAACAGCAACGCAAAAGAAAGCAACGGGAGTCCTTAAGGAGTGATTAATAAATATATACATATATATTCTGTTTAGTAACTGTGGTTATTTTGGTACACAAACTAACTAGTCCCGTTATGCTAACTTTTATATTATGTGTGAACTAATATTACTGTCCTGTGTAGAAATGTTAATCATCTAGTTCCAATAATATTAAAATTTATAATTGTAGTTTGCTGTAACTACACGTTTAAACAACTTAAAATATCTATGTAGGGTGAAAAAGAGGGTGTAAGAGTCAGACGTATAAGTGCATTGTCATCTTTGAGCAGTCTGGTGACTGAGGAGATGAACACTGGAAGTGTGTTTGCATCGCGCACATTAGCTGGTAGTCTATTCCAAATGACTGAAAACTTATTTAAGAAGAAGTTGTACCGCACGTAAGTCTGACAGTGCTCCATAGCAGCTAGGTTGTGATGATTTCTAAGATTGTAACTGATGACAGCGGTAGGTTTAGTTACTGGCTCGGAGGAATGCAAGAGAAGATTACTTAGCTTGTAGTAAAAGATAAGGTTAAGCTTAAGGCGTCTTTTCCAGAGGGGTTCTAATCTTAGTCTTACGCATCGCTCATGGTATTCCAGACCACTTTCTAAACCAAGAGTTCTTGAAGTAAACTGCCGTTGCACTCCCTCTAATTTAAGCTTGTCATTTTGTCTTAGTCCGCTAAGAATAAACGTGCAGTATTCTAAGATAGGTCGGACACATACTTTGTATAATAAAACCCTAGTTTCACAACAAAAGAAATTGCGCGTTATGCATCCTATCAGCCTTCGCGTTTTACGTCTGGCATAATCAGTCTGTTCAGCGAACGTTAGGTTACTAGAGTATCTAACACCGAGGTCTACGACTGAATTGAGCTTAGCTAGTTTTCGCCCATTTATTTCAAGGTTTAGATCAAGCTTACTGTTGCCGATACAAATCCAGCCGCATTTGTCAATGTTAAAATTTAGACAGGATTCAGCACACCACGTTGCAAGGCTACTTAGTTCAAGATGTATTTTAGTAACCATATCGCTTAATTCATGAGTGTAGCAGGAGTAGACGACTTTGAGGTCGTCAGCATATAGGAATGGTTTACCTGAGGTGAAGCACTTGCAAATGCTGTTAATGTAAACTGTGAATAAAAGTGGACCTAGGACACTACCTTGCACGACCCCACTTGAGATCTGCCTAGGATGAGACAATACAGATCCAACTTTGGTTATTTGTACCCTGTTGCTTAGAAATGATTTTAACCAGTTCAGTAATGGACTGCGAATTCCACAAGAGTACAGCTTCTCAAAGAGAATACTGTGAGATACCATGTCAAATGCCCTAGATATATCGAAGTATAGAACAACGACTAGCTTACGTGCTTCGCGATTACTAGTGATGCAGTTGAAAAAGTCGAAGTGGCAAGTAACGCAGGATCTATTTTTGAGAAATCCGTGTTGAGACCTTGTAACAAGATCCTCCCTAATTAGGTAGTCTGACAATTGATCTTTTACAACTTTCTCCATGATTCGTGAGATAAAATATTTATGCAGCAAATGTTCTCTTGCTTCACTACGCTTGTTTCCCTTATAACACTCAATTACTGAGCCCAGTGTATTCTTTGATAGTACGAATTATAATATTAATTATACTCTTATCATATATAGATCGGTTTACTTTACGGCTCCCTGTAGACTAACTACAATTCTTCAGTATACACACACTGCAGTATTGTTAACCAAGTGCTAAAATTCTGTTGGTTCTGTGTTAATATCTTTTTATAATATGGGTAGGCAGGTTACTTTGCAAATGTCAGATGTTTATTATATATAAGACTGTCATGATAATTTAGTACACTTAGTCCTGCCAACCGACCTTACCTTCAGTTCATACCACCTACATTGAACCCTAACTATAGTGTTCTGCTGAATCTTGCTCCAATATTCACAAGACCTATTCTTTTTACTCTTTAGGGTTTTAACTTCTTATAAAGTAATCTGTTCATTAGGATGCATGCATACATGAAGATGTACGTGGAGACCTATTGGAAGCATTCATTAAGAAAGCTAGGGAGATGGAATATGAGGTACGAACATGTCTGGTACCAAGCAATATATTTGCGGTAGCCATAATAATCAAAGTCTCAGAGCCTAACATCAGAAAAGGAGGGAGGATGGTGCTAGCTGATCAGTAGATATGGTGGCGGTCACTAAGGTGAGTCGTCCTATTCTGCAGGAACAGCAATATGCAATTTGACGGCTCGAGATATTTCTGATTTTTATGAGGGCTTAGATCTTTATCTTGAAAAAGATAATAGTGAACACCTTGACAGATCATGCTTCTGCCTCTAAATATACTCCAGCCTATTGTTGAAATGCGACCACGTGGGCTCTGCACAGATTTATGGGGCATCTTATACGTTAACTTGTTATCCATAGTCGGATCTTTACATACCACTTCACAATGTCTTATCGCATTCATTTTCTAATAACGTCTTTACTTGCTCCTCATTATACTCCATTAAACCTAACATTTTATAGCTCTATATGAATTTCATTAGACTTGTTGTATTCCTATTCACTCTAGGGTACGGTTGTGCACCAAATGCACAAAAAGGTATAAAATAAAAACCCCGCATCACGATAAATGTATTAAAATCAAAAGTGGAAATCATGATAGTAAGAACTATATGCGTAGCATTTTACATTTCAAATGAACGTTGTCAGTCTAGGGAGTTTCTTTTATTAATGCATTTATTAATGATACTTGCACGTATGTATTTCATTACACTTTGTTTATTCAAGGTAGCACTTTAACTTTTCTAAAAAACAGCTTCCAATCCCTTGTAAACGTTGTACTTACCTCAATATTGGTTGGTTATTGTATGCCTACAACCACGGGATGAAAACGAAACGAAGTCGATTTTCGCGCTTAACCTGGAGGACAACTGTACAATTCAATAACTATACGGCGTGGTTCAGACAATGAGTGTATTATATGTATCAAATGTTTAACAGTTGAAATATGATTAACTTGTAGACAATCTGAGATTTGAGACTATATCTTACTTGATCGTGCCTGTAAAAAAGGGCATGCATTTTCATGTAAATTTTTTAAATTTGTATGAAATACATTACATTATTGCAAGCGGTAAAACTTCTTTTTCTGTATGTTCTCAGTATTCTGGAATAGACAACCAGCTAATGTATGTGATGGGAACACACTCTCAGTAGTCATCTGGTTAGTCACCGAACTCCCGACAATGCCCTCCTGCGTGTGATTCGTACGTCTTCTTTTTTTCGCCCACAGATATTATGGGCACACTAATCATATGCATTACAACAAACCACAATAATAGATGTTAATTTTATTTGAAGAACATGAAAAACATTTCCAAACAGGCCATTAATATTAGTTCACACGTATAATATATAGGTTAGCATAACAGGACTACTTAGTTACTCTATCACCGCAATCATAGTTCCTAGACAGAGCATATATATGCATATATATTTATGTATATATGTATACGAATTTGTAAATCACTCTTTGGAGAATCTAGTCGCTTTCTTCCGTGCTACTGTCGTTTCCCTTCTTTTCTCTCACACCATTTCAGCAACCACGTGACTTTCTGAATGAGGATAAAGAATGTAGATATTTGGCAACTTACAATAACTAAAGATCCGCAAACAATACTGGCCCCACATCCTACAGCTGTCTCACGAATTAGCCATTACCTTCCTCCGCCACGCATCCTGGATGACAGTTGTGCGATATTACCTTTATAACAGTAAAAATCCCCAATAGCCTGGTTATTTAAGAATTAATTAAAATATGCTGATTGTTGCATTTGAAATCTCACTGACTCAAGTGATGTGATATTCAGCTCCCACATGCTGCAATTTTTATTTTATATTAATCATTATCGTTCCTAGCCGCGCATGGACTTGAAATTTCCTGTCGCTGCTTCTTAATACATTTAACTGGGCACGTACTGCTGTTGTGAGTCGCTGGCGGTTAATATTGGCAAGAACATCATTGCCGATGAACCAAACAAAGTTTTGCGAGACAATTTAATCACTCAGTGAATAGTCTACCTCAGCTCTACTCAGTAACGCACTCCTCAGATATGACACTTTAGAGAAGATGCTTTGTATTATACTGCGCACGTCGCTTTCGCCTGTAATAAGTGACCTTAAAGGTATTATTCCATGAACTTTCCGTCCGCATATCTCGTTTGAATGAATAAGCGTAAATATGCTTAATCGCTGTATATGTTATTTTTATAGTCATGATGCCTGCTAACTGGTGTGGGCCACGTTTAGAAACCTCTAATACACTATTATTATAAGAGCCGATCATCTTAATACTGTTCATTGATGAACTGGTCCTAAAAACAGTTTCCCTGGTTATTTTAATTTCACCTTTCCGATTGTCTAGTTACGACCTTAGGGTTTAACTCATCAGATTGCTTTATTTGAAATTTGGTCTCACCGAACAGTATCTCCTTTAGTTTTTTCAAGTATTCAGCCCTATGCATGATAACATTTGTCGAGTTATCGTGTTCGTGTGTATTTTTGACGCTTAGACTAAATATTAAAAGTCATACTTTTGGAGCATTCGACTAAAGTTGCTTGAATTAACTGTGCCGAAGAAATGACCGAAATTATAACCTACTTTTGCAGTTATTCTGCTGGCTAGATGCAAAGTCATAAGTGTTCACGTGACCAACGATCGCTTATTTTTATTTCAATTACTTCATATCATCAAATACTTTCCAATGTTTACACCCTTCCAAAGTTTTCATGACGCATCGTAGTTATCTGACAAACTCCTTTCCTTTCTACTTCTTTCTTTGGTTAACTTTATTCAATTTATAAGGTATATTGTCTGAGTCTGTTCAAATAACGGTAAGCATTCCCTCCGTATATGTTATAAACAGTACTAGTCAGATTCTAAATGGGAAGTTTACATCCAAGAACCAACATTAACAGTGTTTGTGTAAATGAGACCTTGGTCTTTTACCTACCGTCATGTTGAGATTGATTTTGTAAGACAATATATCCTGTTGATTGATGTGAGTTGTTAGTAAGAACTGGCGTTAAATATTAATACTTGTCAACCAGAATTGAAGTCATCCAAAATACATAAGTCCTGTTTTCATAGTTTGAAGACAAGTGCACCAGTGTTGTAATTATTTGTAATCGTAGTATTATTATTTCGAGATTTAGAGGGTTGACGGAATTCTATGCGCAGCCTTTAAATTATTCTCGCGTACCAACAACAAAGCAAAAGCCAATATTTGATCGTCCAAACTAAGTGGCATATTTCGGGACCAAAACAAGCCTTCAGACGAACGCTTAGCTAGCTAGTGATCGTGCACGTGACACGACGGGGTATCAAATGGAGGGGATGCTTGACCGGAAGCCTTCAGCTAAACAAGTCGACTTAAACAGTGGTGGTCAGCATCCAGTGGTGAGTGATTGCTGTGGTCAATAATTCTGGGGAATTATTTACCGCTACAGCTCACTCCCCCCTAGTGGGGTGGTGAGGACCCTAAGACAGAACCAGCTGGAAGTAAAAAAACTCGATGGTTCCCATTCGGGTGAAAAAAATCTTCCGAGCGGCTAGGTGGGGTGCCTACTGGTTTGTTTGCCTATGCTAATAGGGTGTTTGTACATAGCTTCCTTGTTGTTGTTCGTTGGATCCCGTGTTTCGTTTGTTTCCTGTCCAGTGCCCGTCGCACCTGGGAAAGAAAACAAGAACGCTAAGAACCATGTCGAGGAAAATGTACCAAATCAGCTTTTTTTATTAAAAAAATGATGTGCATTTACTATACAGTAAAATTATGTTAAGTTCCGAACATCAAAAAAATACATCTAATCAATTATTTTTTGTGCATGTTACATGAACTGTTGAAAAAAAGTTTGTGTTCAGTGGTACTATATATAAAAAAATTGCTACGTCAAAAAAATAGTTAGTACCACAAACGAATGAGTTGCGTGAATCACACGACTTCGTTATGTTAAATAATTATGAAGATATCCTGAGAACCTTACGGTGTGTCCAGAACGGGTTTCCTTGTGAGGCTCGATAGAAGGTTCGGTAGCTGTCGCTGTGCTAGTGACTTTAATGATGTCTAAACGATCTTCTGTTACTTGTGGATTGTGGGATACGTTGAGCTCTATGCTAATAGGATTACCCTCCAAGTAAGCCGGTTTCAGTATAGCCTCGACCTTAGTAGCCAGTGGGCGAATGCCGTTGCAGTCAATAGTGTGACCCAGGAAGTTGAGTGAGTCAACACCGATTTGACACTTTTGAATATTGATGGTAACACCATGTTGGTGTAACTTGTCAAATGCCAAGTCCAAGTGCCTAAGGTGAGTTTCCTTGTCTGGACTGGCAATGAGGCAGTCGTCTAAGTATGCTTATGCAAAGTTGAGACCGCAAAATATTTCGTCAATGAAGCGTTGGAATGTTTAGGCTGCATTCCGGAGACCGAATGGCATACGTAGAAATTCAAAAAGTCCGAAGGGCGTAATGATAGCCGTTTCCGGGATACCTTCTGTTGCCATCGGGATTTGGTTATACGCTTTAACCAAGTCGATTTTGGAGAATATAGTCGCGCCTGATAAGGTTGCCGTCAAGTCGTGTATATGAGGCAACGGGTAGCAATCTGTGGTTGTTTTGGCATTCACTCGCCGGTAATCACCGGTGGGTCGCCGATCATTGCTATCCTTTTTCGGAACCATATGAAGTGGGGATGCCCATGGGCTATTCGAAGGTCAAATTATGCCAAGGGTAAGCATATGGTCAAATTCATTCCTGGCGATTCGCAGTTTGTCAGGAGCTAATCGTCGTGCTTTAGATGTCACAGGTCGTCCTGTGGTAATGATGTGGTGCATAACATTGCTGGTTATGCACGGTAGGTCGTTCGACGGGCAGTTAAGTTCCGGATACCTGTCAACCATAGGCTGAAAAGTTGGATCAAGGATTGCCTTTAACTTAACAGGTGACAAACTAGGGCCTATGTGGCTGATGCCTTTGATAGACAGACTAGTAGTATTGTCAATCAGTCGTTTTCGGCGGACGTCTACGAGTAAATCATGATGATTAAGTAGGTCCGTGCCGGCTCTCCGTGGTATCCGAGATTGGTAGTGACATACTGTCAAACTGATCTAATTTTTCTCGAAGTTCACTTACTTGCCTCTGCATATCCTTCAAAAGGAGGTTTAGTTTACAGAACTCAGAGTTCTCTAACAGAACATCTTTCACCTGTATCACAGGAGTGAGATCTGCACTCGAGCCATTTTGAGGTCTAGTAAATGATTCTGTATTACCAGGCGGTAATGCAGCTACAATCGAATATGAGCCACTATCTAAAACAACTGTGTTTCTACAAACACGGTTTTTAGAGATTTTTACCATAATTTCAAGAATTATATGACAATAAGCAGTAAATAAATTTCAGAGCAAACACGTGCAAAAATGCCACCATTTTCGAACATACCGCCGAACGTTATTATTCGATAGGATGTATTAGCTGATGATTTACGCAATCTTTTACACATGCAATAGGAATCTTGTATTTCACATGCCTTAAGAAGGGCGTTTTTCAATGTTTTGATTTTGGTAATGCCGGCACATTGGAAACGATTGCATCACACATGCACTGAAGACGCTTTTTTACTTCCTCAGAAATGTGATCAATAATTCTCTCGCAACAATGTTGTGTTGTGATAGTCAAGATAATCGGCAGGCTTCATCAAATACCTAAGAGGTAAGAGGACATGGACTTATGGAAGAATCTCTTTTCAACGAGTTTATTGTCAAGCTGTACAACCGTATACATATGGTTTCTAGGAAATTATAATAGCCGCAAGTTGTTCTGTACCTCTGTAAAGGATAAGCTCCTTCGTCTGGCAGCCTCCATGTAGATCTATCAGTTCACTTGCTCTTGCGGAGCAAGGTACATTGGCCGTAGTCAGAGGACGCTTGTCACACGGATGGAAGAACATATTCAAGCAGCATGGTTTTACAAGTGAGAAAGAAAGTGTGTGCGAAGCTCTATTCTGGAACACCTGATCAACTTCTTTCACTCCGTCAACCCTGACCATGATTTCGAGATCATATGTAGAATCCATGCTAACTTCCCGCGTTTTCTTTGTTACGGACTTCTAAATTTAGCGCGCGCTTCGTGTAGGACGTTACAATCTCTCCATATAACGTGGAAATATCTTTTCGAATTCTGGAATATCGTGGTCTATATTTGACTACTATATAATTATAGCTGATATTGGTTGCACCTCCGGTA